TGGTCTCGGTGTGATCTCTGGGCAAGGGTCTCTCCAGAGGGAAGACTACCTTCGGGGGTCTTTCACACCAAAGGCCTGACTATTCGAGAGAAGCTGGAAAGCATGGGAGTACAGATGGGCACTTGATACACAGAGTCAAACTTTAAAAAACAAACAGAAAATTGTGCTAGAGATATTGGCTCAGCTGTTAAAGGCTAGGCTTACAACTAAAAATATAAGATACGATCAAAAGACATGACAAATCCAAACCCTGCAAATAAATGTGTCAATGACCACTTATTGAGAGAACAAGTGATTTTTAATAAATAAAAAAAATGGAGCCAAATACCTGGGAGCTGTTCACAGTTACTGATACACAGAGCTGCAGTTACATGCACAGCAGACACAGAGTAAGACAAAAACAAAATTCACACTGAGGCAGTATTTAAAATTCCAAAAGCTAAACAAAGGGAAAGTTTTGAAAACAGCTGTCAGTGGAAGGTAGAGGGAGGCTCTTGTCATTAAGAACAAATTAAAAATTTATGTTTTGTTTTGTTTATCACACATAACTGTGTATGAATATGGGCATCTGGTATATGTAGTTTTTTTTAAAGAAAAATGTAAATTTGTGTGTTTATAAAAAGAAATTTTTTACTTCAAATGTGAGTGAAAGTCAAACATAGTGCTAAAAAGCAAGGGTACAAAAATCAAATCAGAAAAAGAGAGACTGAATTGAGTGTGGCATATGTGTCTTGTACAGTGTATGATAAGAGAGTCAGGTGTGCAAAATAACAAGATAAGGAAAAAAATGAGCCAACAAAGCATGGAGATGGACTACATTTTCTAGTTACCCCTTGAACTATTCCAATGTAATTCCAGGCAAAAAAATAAATAAAATAGCAATTCAGTGAGAGACAATAGTATATAAAGAAGTAAAATGGCCTGGTGATGGTAGCACATGCCTTTAATCCCAGCACTTGGGAGACAGAGCCAGTCGGATCTCTGTGAGTCTGAGGCCAGCCTGGTCTACAGAGAGAGATCCAGGACAGGCACCAAAGCTACACAGAGAAACCCTGTCTCAAAAAAAAAAAAGAAGTAAAATGAATAATATGGACTTTGAGGGCCATGTATGAGGAGGGCAACACTGCTGTACAGTACAAAATCTGCAAGTCAATGGTATTTCATCCTGTGAAATTATTCCAAGTATAAATTAGGAACTCTAGCATATCCACCAAGCTTTTATAAACAAAGGATATTGTTGAGTACTAGGGAAGAGGGGAAAAAATGAATCATTTAAAAACATGTGTTCAAAACCTGAAAAGTCAGGAAAAGTAATAAAGGACCCAAAGTAATGGATAGCAAATTGCCATAAGGACAATGTACATGACTGAAGACAGTCAATAATCATTTTATGTATGATCTAAAAATTTCAAGTAAACAAAAAACATGGAGAAGATCAAACTCAAGTAGTTAAACAAAAACTCAATGATAAATTATGAAAAATATCACTTTACATAAAGCAATGTGATAGAATATCATTAGAAGTTTGAATAATGCCCTCACTGCTCTGAATCAAAGGAAATCTGCCATGGATATAGTAAATTCAAACACTCATTAAAAAAGAAAATTATTAGAAAGAAGCAGGGCTTCTCTGAAGGTCAATTATTGAATAACATCCTTGCTCTTCAAAATTAAATATGTGATATTAAAACTTATAAAGCTTTAAAAATCCAATTAGACAAACTGCTTTTCACAATTGTACCCTCTTTCCACAATTAGAAATCCACAAGTCTGACACAAGGAGAATGTCATTGATATAGATGGTACTAGTGCAAAGTGCATCCATTCTATTCTAGTTTCTGTGGAACACGCACAGAAGTAGACCATCTCATGGAAAAAAAGAATTTTCTTCATTTATTTTTGAAACACTAAAATGCCTTCATTTTACATGCCTTCAGATTACATTGGAATTATAGTAATATATGTGTAACAGAAAGATGGATGCATTTTCCTGTGTTTGGCAAAGAATACCCTTTGTCCTCTCCATTTAGACACTATAAAATAATATATGTAGCAAAAAAGAAGCATAACTGTATTTAATCTAAAGATAATGAAATGTAGTTGTTAAATGGAAAATGATAGCATTAAAATGCAGTGATTAGAAAAGAATGGCATAAAATGGTGACTAATGTGCACCTGAGAAAATTACAGAAAGACAAGCCACATAAGAAAAACAAGAAAAAAAAACCACATGTAAGAAAAAAAAGATACACATAAGAAGAACAGAAAGACAAGTCACTTAAGAAAAGTGGTTACAAAAGCTGGAGCAAAATCAGTAGAGTAGAAAACAGGAAAATGAGAGATAAAATAAAATAAACATCATGCGTTTTTTTAAAAAAAAACAATTTGATGATTGTCTTAGAGCTTCTACTGTTGTAATAAAACATCATGACCAAAAGTAGCTTTGGGGCAAAGGATTTTTATAGTTCCACATCACAGTCTATCACTGAGGGAAGTTAGGGCAAGAACTCAAATAAGATGGGAACCCAAACAGAGGTAGAAAGTAATGCAGATACTATGGAGGAGTTGCTGCTTCTTGACTTTCTCAGTTTGTTTTCTTATTATATACCTGGGCATCACCTGCACAGGAGTAGCACCACCCATATTTGGCTGGGAACTCCCTCAATACTAAATAAGAAATTGCACCAGAGGCCTGCGTACAAGCCAGTGTGGTGGGAACGTTTTCTCAAATGGAGCTCCCTCTTCAAAAATGACTCTAAAACTAGCCAACATATTGACACTGTGGGCAGGCTACTTAATGACAAAGAGAAGAAATATCTAATATTAAATATAAAGCAGGCTTATTACTCCATTAGATCAAAGGATAACCAGGGAACATGCATTGAAAATATCTCATAAGCTTGATGATTTAGGTAAAATCATTTTTTAAAATATACCATGCAATACAACTAGTAAAGAATATAAACTTATTTTTATGGTAGACACAAATGAATAGGAAATTGTAGCAACTCATCAAATGACAGTTTATCAAATGACTAAGAAACAAAATCTCTACATCTCCCACAGAAAACTAAAACAAAAGTTTGCTTTTTTAACTTCTTCATGAGGCTAGCAACACTTTAGTGGCAAAATCAGAGTAGCATAGGAAAGGAAACATATCAACACTGCACTCAGAAGGTCATACCTTTTAAATTCTCCTATTGTTTATTTCTGGAAAATACAATGCATTATTTCAAATACAATGAATTTTAGGTAACTAGTATTATAGTAAATAAAAATGTAGATTATGATATATTAGGGAAAACTTCTACCTTTTTAAAAGAAGTGTTATAAAAATCTAGTCTATTTCATGCCCCAGTACCTCTTCCATATCCAAGAGACACTTGGTATCTTTCAAGCTCTCTATCTCAGGATGCTAAGCAAAGCAGATTGAAGCCTGGCTGCTTTTAATCTCATGAACTTCTGAATTTGACTATCACCTTAGGGAGCCCAGGCTGGTCACTGAACTCATAAAATACCTGAAGCATGATCTTCTAAGCTTCTCTGGTTTCCATAACATGAAGACGTACACTCAGACATTATTGTATATCTAATTGTATATCTAAAGAAGTATCATGTACCTACACACACACAACACACTTTTAACTATTACCCCATCTTGAAATATAACATGGAGCATTAATTGTCATTAATACAACACAGCAGTTCTTTATAGTCTACAAGGTAAAAATTTGAGTATTCCATGATGATTTATTAATAAAATAAACATAATGGCTAGTTTGACTTTAGACCTAAGGTTCTACCTGTTCTAATAAATAGCATGTGGTACTTCAACAGTGTGACATTTGTCCTGGCATAAGGTGATGGACCACATTGGTCTTCAATCAACATCTACTAGAATCTTTCATTCTAAATAATTTCCCTTGATATGGAACATGTTGAGAATGGCTTTTCCATATCCTTTCAGAAGACTCTACTTATGTCTCTTATTCAAGAAAGTTCAACTCATTCCCAAATGGGACTCCAATATATGTCATGGTTGAGGCATCTAATTACATCGCGAGTTTAGCTGAATTTTAAGCAAATTGCCCGAGTCAGTAAAGAGCTTTCTGTATTCACATAAGGAGCTGAGCTGGCCCCTGTCAGTGCATGTTAAAAGAAATCTGGACATGATAGTGTGTGTCTGTAATCTCAGTACTAGAGAGGTAGAGATAGTGGATTTTCCTTGTCTGACTGTCAAGTATACTTAGCTAAATGTGTGATCTCCAGATTCAGAAAGACACCCCATCTGAAAAATAAAGGAGGAAAAAAACTGAGGAAGACAGCCAGCATTGACTGCTGTCTTCTACAAAACAGGTACTTGCACACACACACACACACACACACACACACACACACACACACACACACACACACACACCAGTCTTGCACTGTGCATATAAACTCAATACAAATATACAGTACATACACATACTACATACCAGTGTTTCTCAGCTTCCTAATGCATTGACCCTTTAGTACAGTTCCTCATGTTGTGGAGATCCCCAGCCATAAAATTATTTCCATTGTTACTTCATAACTGTAATTTTGCTATTGATCACTGTCTCAGTTCCTAAGACCATTGGAAATGTGTTTAACAATGGCTGCAACTCACAGGTTGAGAAACTCTGCTACATACACACATGCACATCTATAGAACTAGCAGATATTTCTCTTCCCCTGAATGATGTGTAGGAAGAACAAAATATAACCGATATCATTCTCTCAAAAGACCCATCCAATCATGCATTATGATTAAAATCTGGGTATGTTCATAATGCTGTTGTTTTTCCCAAACCAGAACAAGGGTAAAGAACACCAGATTTTTCCAAAACAGCAAATGACCTTTCAAAAAGTATGACATCCAAGGTGATAACTGTTTTACAGAGATATAGAAAATAGTAATTCTTTTCATAAATTCAAATTCACTGCTGATATTTTATTGCCAAGTGATTTCTTACTTGAATTTAGCTATAGTGGTATTTTTCCTTTGCAGGGTTAATTCTTGGGCAATCTCAACATCCTGGAGAGCAGATTAGAAGCTGAAATAGAAAAATAAAATAATATAAAGAAGTCTTCAAGAGCATTCAAAGTAGAAGCAAAAGATCCATGCATTGAACATACTGGCTTTCCCCAGAGGTTAGCATACATATTGATGTACACATCAATCATACTCCAAGTCCCAGTGATTATATATATTCGGTTATATATATATATATATATATATATATATATATATATATATATATTCGGTATCTCAATGCATATTGGATAGTATTATATTAACTTGACACAAGCAATAATCATCTGAAAGGGAGGAAACTCCATCAAGAAAATGTCTCCATAAGATTAGGCTGTAAGGAATTTTCTTAATTAGTGATTGATGGGAGAGAGCCAGTCCATCATGGCAGGTAGAATCCCTAGGCTGGTGGTACTGTGTTATGTAAGAAAGGGAGCTGAGCAAGCCAATTATCAGCACCCCTCCAAGGCCTCTGCATCAGCTCCTGCCTTTAGATTCCTCCCCTTGTTTGAGTTCCTGTCCTGACTTTCTTCAGTTATGAACAGTGATGTGGAAGTTTAAGGCAAATGAACCCTTTCTATGCCAACTTGTTTTTGGTCACGGTGTTTGACCACAGCAATAGTATCCCTAACTATGACAAAATTTTGTAAGATTAAGCTCTATAGAACACAATTTTGGGAAATTGTAACATGCTCACACTTTCCTTTTCCAGTAATAGGCCCTTGGATTTAAACTGCCAGCCTAACTTGAGAATGATTATCCAAGTTCAAATTCATAGTATTATTTTAAAAGGTTCATTATGAGGAATGGTTTACTGACTTACTGCCAACCATTTCTGATTTTTGTTTCTATGACACTTAGGTATTAACTCAGTCTTATGGAGAGGGGTTGATACCACAAAGCAATGCAATTCAAGGATTGGCAACAGCTTACTCATTTCAGATGATAAAACTGTGTTTCTGATTTTGCCACTTAATTTTTTATATTCCTATTTGTACGTTTTGTCTTTCCTGAAATCAATTATAGTTTTATGGAAGTCTAATACTTTATAAAATGATAGTTATATGAGATGGCTATATCACAATAGAACTCAGTTAGCATCAGTTTGGATTGTTATTTTTGTGGCATGGAAACTGCTTCTATGGCTTGCACAAATATTTGTAAGATGTCAGAGATACATTCTTATATGGACTATCAAACAGATTCATGCAAAGGTCTAGCAATACACATTATTTTAAACAGCATGGTAATGTCTGAATCATATTTAATTTTGCAACTACCCTTTTATAGGACACAAGCATGGGTAGTCAGATTATAATCTTCCCAATAGAAGGATGAAACATGCTCTTTTGCAGACTTGGAGGATAAGCAGTTGTTCTAGCCAGGACCACATACCCATGAATTCTAAAAGCTGGAGACTGGTGGTTCAGAGAAACCTTTTTCATCACATAGGAACAAAGTAAAGAACTATATTTAATTTGCAATTTAAATAAGCTTGGAGAAAGATCCCAAGCTCCAGGTGACAATGTAGGCTGGGTGATAGATGAAGTATAGCCTAATGAGACCCTGAGTAAAGAATTATTTGTGCTCCTTCCTCTAACACAATGACTCTGGGATAACAAATAATTATTGTTTAGGACACTGGGAATTCTGCATCCTTCCAAGGAAAGGACTCTTCCCATGGGACAGAAGTCTGTTGCTTCACTCTTGCAGTTTTTTTTTTTTTTTGCTCCCATAGCTCAACATACCCCATAGGAAAATATATACCCTGAAAGAAATTCAGTTTTAAAAAGTGATGAATGAGTGCCTATTTTGGCAGCATATATACAAAAACTGGACTGAAACAGAAAATTAACATGACCCCTGTGCAAGGATGACATACACATTCTTGAAGCACTCCATATTTTTCTGATGTGGTCAACAACAAAAACTAAATGTGTTTTATTAAGAAAAAAAAACATTTCAAGGTACCGTCTATAATAACTTAAGTCTTTAACAAGCAACTTAAGTTTGATTAAGTAAACAAAGACTATTAGCATACTTTACCTATGTTTATTACTATTGGATGTCTAGGATACCACAGGCTTTCTGTGCTTTTGGTAGCTTTTATTTAAAATGATCTCATTAGAATCTAGCTCACAACTCCAGGCACTAACCTCACTAATGCATCTGTGTCAAGAGTTACAGGGGACTGCCTGTCTTTTGTCAAGCAGATACTAGCTTCTCGATTCATTGATAGGTGTGCCCCCAATGTGTGCTCATTTAAAGGGTCTACTTCCATCCTGTTAGTTACATTATGAAAACTTATCTTTGACTCCTGCCAGGGAACTGGATAGACTGAACACAGGTCTCCATCTTCTACTCTCTTCCTCCAGACACACCCCTTAGTTTCACTTCCAGCTCTGTAACACAACATATGCTGCAGCCTTTTGTTCTCCCTTATTTCCAACTCGTGACGAAACCAATGACCTTCCCTCCTGTCCTTCCTTCCCCACTCCTTGCTTTAACCTACTCTGAAATTTCAGTATGTAGTCCTATTAAACCTTAGACTAATCCTGCCAGAGAAACAGATAGGTTGACTGTGGATATTCACTACTCCTTTTGTTCCTTCATTCCCAGTCCCCCAAGTCTCACCCCCAGCTCCACATCTGATAGGGGAATGATATTCAAAACACACAAACATCTCAAGAAACTTCATATCAAAACAAAAAACAATCCAATGAAAACCAGGGTACAGATTTAAACAGAAAATTTTCAATAGAAGAAACTCAAGAGGCTGAAACAAATTTAACCATCACAGAGATGCAAATGAAAACTATTTTGACATTTTATCTTACACCTGTTAGAATAAATAAGACCAATAACACAAGTGATGTCTCATGCTTGTGAGTATATAGAACAAGGGGGGCACTCCTCCATTGATCATGGGAGTGGAAACTTGTACAGCTACTTTGGAAATCAATATGGTGATTCCTCAGAAAGTTGGGAATTGATCTACCTCAAGATCCGGCTATACAACTCTTGGACATACACCCAAAGGGTGATTTATCCTAACAAAACACACTTGCTCAATCATGTTCATTGCTGCTCTTTTCATAATAGCCAGAAACTGGAAACAACCTATATATTCCACAACAGAAGAATGGAAAAAGAAAATGTGATACATTTACACAACTGAGTATTACTCAGCTCTTAAAAAAATGACATCATGAAAAACACAGGCAAATGGACAGTACTAGAAAAAAAATCATTCTGAGTGAAATAACTCATGCCCAGAAAGATAAATATTGCTATGTATTCACTTATATGTTATTAATAACCATGAAATAAATGATAAGAAAATTATAATCCAGAGTGCTCAGAGAAGTCAGGTTAATTGGAAATGACTAGGAGAGACACATGTATCTCTCTGGGAGGGGAAAACAGAATAGAATAGAATTTATGGGTGAACTGGTAATGCAGAGACAGAGAGACTTTGGAATATATAGTCCTAAATGAGATGGCTCCATCAAATCCCTCCCCCTCAGAGCTCAGGGAACTGAGGTGGTCTATTGTATACACATTATATATATATATTGATATTGTTAGAAAATGCTGTTTGTATATTTCTAATCTTATTCAGGATATTGTACTTATATAGTTCATTTAACAATGTAATGCAATTTGCTAATCCTTGAATGTTATTATTACCAACTATTAGGATATAAAGAAATGAAAGTTAGTAGTTAGACATTACAGTTGAACTTGTAGTCATACTAGATATGTTTTCAAGGTTAAGCAGAGATATATTTTAGATAGAAAGGTCATCTTCAAACCCTTCAGAGACCTATAGAATATGGCATTAAAATTTTTTAATAACTTAGATTTTTTTCTTTTTATGACTATGAGACATGTCTACTTCTTGTAGCACCAATCTACTTCAGAGAAGATATGGGCACTGAAGAAAACTGCATATGGAGTTAACTTTCATTGCTGCAAAATTTAGTTCCTGGGCAACAAAGTGCCCTCACATCAACTGCTGAGAGAATGCTATCCAAAATGAACAAACAGGACACAAAACAAAGGACTACCAATCCTTGCCAAGTGTGATTGTGGCTTTAGCAACAGGCATCCTCTGATGCCAGGACACTATGGCACCATTGCTGAAGTGGCTTTGTAATCTGAAAAAGGTACAGTACCCCTTTCTTCGAAGGCAGCTGAACAGGCAGTAGACTGATGGCTTCTGATGTTCAGTGGAACAGTAGCTGAAACAGTTATTTTTGAAAGAGTAACTAGGCTGATGGAGTCTAACCTCTCAATGGTAGACTGGCATTTAATTAAAGAGATGAAGCTACCCACAAGCCGAGAAGATAGACAGCTGAGTTCCAAAAACACCATCAATTTCCAGAATTTAAAATCCTGAATCATGACAAGACACTGGTGGAATTCAGGTTTATCTGGTACATGGAATACTAGCACCAAAACTGAGGTCAAGCTGTAGGTCTTGTGTACATCCAACTTCACAAATGAATCTGTCAGATACGCTAAGCCTATAGGCTGAAGATGATGCCCTAATATTGCAGAGAAATACTGAGTGACTGCAGGAAGCTGGCTGTTTCTTTTAACTCAATTTTTTTTTGGAACTTGCTTGTTTGCACTTCCTGTTTTACTAGGTAATATTATTTTCTTCTTGGGTTTCTGAGGGAGTTGAAGATTAGATAGTTGTAGTAACAACTTTCCTTGTTAAGAAATTTCAGAAAAGAGACTCACTAAGAGGTGTAAATTGTATAAGTTTGAAAGAAATCATAGGATAGTTTTCTGTTGGTAATATAATTTAGGATAGAAAGTGAATTAGGTAAATTTTGGACTTACCAAAATGGATAAATAATGGAATATTTTCTCTGAATTTGTCAAATACAAAATGACTAGACATTGCTGATTTATTTATTGCTTGTATATATTGTATATAGTTATTGTACATATTGTATACAGTTTTTCTTATATTAGTTATAACTTTTTTATTCTTTATTTTTATTAGACAAA